CTTGATAAAAATCGTTTTTTTATGGATATCTCACCAATTCTCTTGAAATTTGGCAATATTTTTCTTTTCAATTGGAATTATGAAATCCAGTGGCGCCCCAAGGATGAACCTATATCGAATATTATTGTCAATAAAATGTGCGCCACCTATTCTCTCGGATTGTGTATCTTCATAACCTATTGACCATCTAAACATACATTCTGATCTGAATTGTTTTCAAAATTTGCTTCATTTTCATATAGAAAAAAATAAATTCCAATTGATTGCATAAATTTGTACCAAAACACTCCATAAAAAACTGGGGTGAGAATAAATGCGTGCTCATTAGATATAGAATAAGAATGGAGATTCATTTCCTTCAAATATTTCAAAATGTTTTGCTCATAATTTTCGGACACCCTTTATAACATTTTTATACATTTTTCATACATCAGAATTCAATTCAAGCTGTGATAAGATTTGTAGTTCCAACTATATTTGATTTAAACAATGTATCATTGTTTGTTGGTTGCATTCGCTTCGGTTTCTATATGTGTGTATATTTCATGACATGACGGGTAAAAAGTTTGGAATTTCATCTCTGATGTTATAACAGGTTATAAAATGTAATTTTTCCTAAATATATTTTTTCCACTCACTTTTAAATATATATCACATATTCTATATCATTTGCTGTTGATGCATTTATTGTAATGTATATAGTTCCGATTTTTTTTTATGTTCTGGTTCCCACGAAAAAGGATATCCTGTATTGTTCAGAGAACATCGTGAGAGCCAGGGAAAATAAGGTAGGAATCGGTGTTCTTCTTAGATTTCTGGAGGTTATATGCCTCGGAGAACACCTCCCTTGGGAATGTGTTCCCAGAGCCTCGCTGTTCGTTGGATAAATGAGTCTTTGGAAAGAGATGTTCTGCAGGTCCCCAAAGTGACCACGAAAGGGTGCGAAGCCTCAACTCGACGGGTTAATCTCGCGGGGACTGCCAACGGAGGAACAATTGTTGAAATTTCAGAAGAGCATCGTCCATGAAAATATCTATAAAATAGGGTCAGATCGCCAACTTGTCTACGGTGTTCCAGAAAAGTGAGTGAGTTCGTGAGCGAGGCATCACCCACACGAGACGACGGACAGAATCCAACAGTGTCAGGGTATATGTTTGAGTGCTGCACTCCAAATATGGAAACAGTATTCCAGAACAGGTCGGATCTGTGCTTTATAGATCATAAGCTGCTGACTGGAAGTAAAATAGCTCCTGGCCCGGAACAAAAAACAAGTTTTCGGGATGCACTTTTAGCAATTGATCTCAAGTGATTTTCCCAAGAAAGGTTATTGCTGATAGTAATACCAAGCATGTCTTCAAATTTATGGTTACTCCTGACTTGCTCATCATGTTGGGCACAGTGAGATTGGCTTTCCTAGAGAAAAGACATGCCTGTGTTTTGTTTCCATTGAATCGTTGATTTGCCTGATGGCTGGTATTGGAGCCCTGGAAGAGAAGGCGGTATGGAGGGTACTATCATCCGCGAAACTGTGTATTGGACATGAAGTTTCTTCCGACAAATCGTTGATATATGGAGTAGAAATAGTGTTGATGCTATAATTGATCCATCCGGAACACCAGCATTTATGATAAGAGAGTCAGATGAAACTAAGCCAATAACACCGTCTCCGAGGAAGAAGTAAAAGAACTGCAAGTCCTTTTACCTTCCATTCGACTTCGCGGTTACATAAATCACTGAACAACCACTAGATTCGCAATTTTTAATAATCAAATCACAGAATCGTACTGACATATATTTGATTACTTCACATGAATGATAAAAAAGCCTTCAAGGTGTCATTTCTGTTAAAATCTTCAAATTTCACGTCGAAAGTTTTTTGATTTCAATATAATGTAATATCTTCTCAAATTCGATTTGTACTTTTTCCTGTCACAGAGAAAAATAGTGTATTTTACACGGGAAACCTATTAGGTGTCAGCTCACGGTTTTTCGTTACCACATAATCTGGAGCTGAAATCTACTACTTTTTTCCCTTGTATAATGAATAACTATATACTTCTCATTAAGAAACTCCTCGAATAATGGGGATTCCTCAAGTTAGTAGATATAGAAAAATGTCATTATTGAAATATGTAATGATGTGAAACTGTTCAAGAACATGATTCATATTGAGAGAAAAATTTATATATCATCACCTCTTTCATCAATCTTTCTATTAAAAGCTACTCTAATTTTTGTGCACATTCTCATCAGAAATTGCAAACAATATAGTATGGTACATTTCTCGCATATTTTTGATACACCGTTTTCAGTTCCCATCATGCAGGCAAAAATTCCTACATGTATTAACACTTTCGGCATACAGCTATAGAAACTAAATCGCTATTCTCCCACGATTCTCATGTAGAAGATGTTTTATAGCCCCCTGAATATTTTCATTCATGTTGAAGGTCGGCGTAGTAGAGATGCCTTTCTTCATTCTTGGTTTATCCGTCAGAACATCGACTGTGAATTTCAGGGAAGAACAAAATGTCGAATAAAAAGTGGCTACTACCGTTTGACAAATAGCAAAGTTATGTGAGAACAAACATTGATGATGATGGTTTAGGCATTTCTTGGCACCGGATCCTTCATCATTTTTGTTGATGTTATCCATAATATTGAATTTTGCAGTGCATCTGACCTAACCAGAATGGATAACTTAGTGAAATAGTCATTCAGATATTCGAACAATATTTTTTTCTGTAAATGTCAGAAAGTGGTGATATTCTCCTAATAAGTACACGAAAGGAGTATCAGCGCCATGATCAGACCAAAACCATTTTGCGACCTTGAAAATTCTTGTTCTGGAGAAGCAATGAGGGCAACACACTGGTGAAGATTTCCAGGACTGCGGCAAGCCAAAGATTTCCTCGGTTTGAAAAAGATCAAAAATACTGATTAACCTCTGCCAAATTAGGGGTTTCTGACGGAGAGATATATAGACAGAAATGAGTATAGAATTTGTGGGAATGCAGCTAATATGGGACTCAAAAGTAAACTCTTTCACTTTTGAGAAATACATAGAAGATAGTCGGTAGAGAACACCAATTCATCATCAAATATAATACTACAACAATATTTCATCATACTATACTATAAGTATCATGCTATTTTGTAGTGGTAATATTTGATATTTGATACAATTATCTTTGGTGGTGTTATTAGATGAATGTTGTGACTGGCGCCTATTTTACTGAACGTTTGGTATTTACTACCGACTATTTTTTTCAGTTGCAGTATCTGCAGATTCTGCTGGGAATATCCAAAAATACTCCAAAACATCTTTCTGATGTGTTGTGCTGATGTTCATCACAAGAGATCGAATTACACTGGGATCATATATTACCAGCTGACCGTGGGAGAAATAGCACGAACAGATTTCCTCAAAGTCCCCAAATCCCTAAAGGAACTGAAACTTGGGGATGAGCTGCTATACATATAAACAAGTAAAGCAGAAGAAGGTGGCACAATATAGATCTGATACCATGATCATTTCCAATGAATATTCATACCGATTACCGATCTTGTTATAATCAAATATGATAATAGGTAAATAGAGAACCAAACACCTTTAGAACGATATCATTCAAGTGTCCTATCTCTGTCTTTCATTAACAAAATATCCAAATATAAAAGTTCATGTATTCACTAGAAGATTGATAAAATATTGTCAAATCATGGTATTATCAGACGCAAATAGGTACTTATAGAGATAACATTGATACTGGAATAGCATCAGAAATGACACAGAGGACGAGCCACGAGCATTTCGTAAAAAAATCACATGATGAGATCGTCCAACCTATAAGTCATCCAGAATTTTTTTTATGTTCTGGTTCCCACGAAAAGGAAAAAATGCGGAAAATGAATTATATTAGTAGGCTTCTGATGTATCTATGAATCTATGTACATGTACCAGTAGTACCTAACCAACATAATTATGACGCTGCGTGATGCGATGATGCCATCAATGCGATGCATGGAAGGTGACTATACATCACTCTATAGAACTATCTCTGAATGATGGGACTGATGGGGCTATACACTTACATTAGAATAACAAAAGAAAAAAATGACAAAATTATTCGGGAACACATCGAAAATAATGTGGAAAACTCTATATGCTCTTGATGTTATATATCTGTATCTATATATAGGTATATATACAAGCACAGGGATGTTGATAGGGATTGCGGAAACACTAAAAGTAAATACTCTGAGACTCTTTGATTGTTTGTCCAAGCTTGGGAAAACCATCAGGTAGGTATAGTAGGACAACTTTCAAGAGTACCTTTGGCATTGCTGATGATGTACTCTCTGCAGTCCCCAACAGGTTTTAAGCCCTATACGCTCTAAGAACAATGGTTCCGCTGACTATATCATTGTTTGCTGCTATATTGATATAAACATATATAATTATTGTAATTATGTGATTACTGATATCTGAAATAATAATAGCGAATATCAAGTCTCTTATTAATGTGTATCTGAAATCTTAAGAATTCAACTATAAATAATGGATTATAATTTTTCATGAGCTTGGAATTTTATAACAATGTCTAAATATATATATACCTTCGCATTCTTCAAATGTTCTATACCGCTATATATATACAAGATTCACCATCAAAGAAAACAATGAATGATTGCATTAAAATTCCTCGAAGGCGATCAATTTTTTTCATGAATGAACCGAGAGCTCTTTCGGTTCCCAAACCCCAAAAAATACGAAAAACCAGAGATAATTCAGTGCATTCTTCATACCAATCTCACGTTTTCCTTCAGCATTTTTACCGTGCAATGGCGGGCGCTTCCATGAACTGGGCGTGGTTAGGGCAGAGCCAACGACGTTGATTGGCCGTACGGCGGTGAGTGGGAGGCGCCAGGATCCACGTGTGCAGGACCACACGTGCAGACCAGGTCAGTATCTCAAAGGACTCTGCGGTGGGTGGTCATCAGGACGAATGACTCCTCCTCAAGTAATTGCTCGGCGATTATCGGTCATCTTCGTTGGCTTCCACCCCTACTCAAACCCCCCGAGAAAAGTAAATACTGAGTAGTGAGTCTCAGGTGATATTGTTTATTTTTTGTGACTGTGTGAGACGTGTTGCGGGTGGACGCGACATGGAAGTGACAGTGGTATTGATTGTGATTATACTTGGAGTCGTGGGAGCCGGTAATGTTGGGGATGTGACAGCCAGGAGCAAGAGCAGAGGGAAGGGATCGATGTGGTGGTATGTCTCAATGTCGTTTGCGAATTTGCATTTTAATGAATCATATAGGATGTTGTTATCGCTTGTTTTATAAGTCGTAAAGATAATCTTCTGTGGGTTTGCTTACAATGTTGATGATTATTTCGTACCTGAGGTTGGCGGATATATTTTATGACATTTCTGGTATTTGGCTGGGAATGTATATCAATATCTTCAATCACAAAAATACCAAACCTGGCATCAGATTTTCAACCTTCTTTTTTAAATTGAGTGACATCTTGACATCTATATGTATAAGTTGATCACTCGTGAACTTTACAACAATTTGACATGTTCAAACATGTATAGATATGACATCACAATATTCATGCGACATAAAATACACTGCTTGCCTATTGGTATAATTTCCAGTGTTTTCTTTGTTGCTTTTGGGTTTATGATAAATTGACATTCATCATACAGGGCGTGGAAAGAAATTCTGAATTGAGACTTTATCACGAATCTGCGATTAGAGGTCTATATAAAAATCACAAGTTTCCATCGTTCAAGTTTGAACCCCCTGATTGGGTATGAAAGTGTTGAAAAAAAATATTCTCAGATAGGTATATCTGAGAATATTCCTTTTCAACGTTTTCTTTGTTTCTTGATTTTCCGAATAATTTCGAAAATGTCTCTAGATCCAAAACATTGTTTCAACATAATGACATTTCCGATGAAAAATAATGAATAGTTATCACAACGTATATAGGGTGAGGTGATATTCTTCGTTTGTTGTAACCTCAATTCATCATTCTTCTTTGAGATTCTCGCGATGAGCTTTGCCTATATGTACCTATAGGTATATATGAGTTTATTTTTGATTTTATCGAATCTAAACTTCAGACAAAAATCAATATTCATATAGTTTAATGTAGATTCGATCACTGTTGGCCATTATATTTTAATATCTTCATCATCGTCATCATCAGAGATTTGCCTATGTCATGAATATTCATGAATAGGTATTTGTTTATGATACAATATAAAAGTTCATTAAGTTTATTGATGCTAATCCGAAACAGATTCTTTTAAAACTATGAATACCTATTACAATAAACTAGCTAAATCGATTATTTAATTGATGCCTACCTAAATTAAATGCCTGTAAAAATTTGTATAATGGTAGTGTAACGGTCCATATGTTGAGTAAGAATCTCAATCGTCAATTTTGAATTTTCCATTGTTCGCCTTTGTCTGAGACACCCTGTATAACGTTTTATTTAAAATCATATATCGAACGCGAGGATTGCTATCGCCAGCAATGAGCAAGTTTTTTGGGACTCGTCTCGTTTTTGCCATCTATCTGAATTCGCCGAGCTATTTGATCACGAGAAACAATCCGGTAAAGATCTGAAATCTGAGATTGGAAAGGCCGAATTTCATCTACAGGTAATCTTCCTTCTTTTCACTGTATTTATATAATCCGATAATAATTACATTTAATCATACATTATATTTGTTGATTTTCACATAGTCATAACTTGCATGCTTGATAAAAAGAAAGAAAAGAAAAGGAAATAAAAATCAATCAATACTGACATTCAATGATTATCATAAAAAGAGTATTTATTATTTTTCGTTCATGTGATCGTTATTGAGTCTAACCATTAGTAATTTCACACTTTTTATGTATGCCACACAATTCTAGGCCTTTCAAGATAATATTAAACCAGCTTTATAACAACTGAAGCAATTCAATAGTCAATTTGGGCATATTTGGCAAATTTGTAATATTCAGCCATAGAGGAAAGGAAACGAGGCGAGACCAAAACAAAATTGAAATACTTAAAGGAGGAAGCTGATGAAAGGAAACGTTGGCTGAAACTGTATGGTTTGATAATGTACTGGGCGTTCGATGTGGAACCAACTAACCTAATATAAATCAACAAAGTAACTGTGAGTACGTTCCAACTTTTAATACCGTGCGAAGGCCAGATAGCTGCTTGTGGACTGAATAGTAAAAGCTGTGAAATTGGAAAGAAAATAACCTGGTTCCCATTTTATAATCTTCGCCTTGAAATTGCACCCTTATAGATATATAGAAAATTCGTATAGTATATAACAATCCTGAATAATTAGATACTTCATTTTTCAATTCAACTCACTGTAAACTTTAAGAACAGCTGTTTGAAAAGTATATCAATCCACGTTGAATCATTCATCTTCAGGGTGATATAGTATAAATATATACTTTCTTGTAGTGAACAAAGGTTTACTTATATAATGTTAATTGTGTATGTAATCTTATATATATATACATTTCTAAAAGAGATCTCAACTGCTCATACTCTGATTTCACTCATGAATCATATTTGTATAGTTTAAGTTGGTAGGTGTTCTCATTTAGGTACATCATTCAATTAACCACTCTTCAATTCTTGTGCTATATTATTACTTTTAAATTAAATAATTAGTATTCAATCAACAATATTTTGCGGTTTTGTACGAATCCCCTCCTGTCAATGTAAATATTGGCTGGCGCCCTCTGCTTACACAAATCTCAACTAGAACCTACTACCCAGCCTCCGGCTTTTAAAGCTGTCGTGCTGTGACGTAAGTACTTTGTGGTAATAAAATCTAACTAGAGGTCAAGTACTTTATGGTTATAAAATCTAACTAGAGGTCACAAAAATGGCGCCCAACGTGGGGCCTTTGATTCAATAAATAGTCATTTCTATGGTTTTAAATTTTTTTAATTTGCTTTATATCCGGAAGTTGTTCTAGCCGGCAAGAAGTAAGCATTTCTCATCCCTATTCCATATCCCTCGTACAAAACATTAAAAAAAAAAAAAAAAATAGTCAAAAGTTATTTTGACATTCCACAAGCAGCACCTAAAAAAAAAAAAAAAATTGTTGCATATTCTATTTTCCATATTTTAACATAGCAGTGCATCTCAAAAAAAATATATATATATTTTTTTTTCGACTGGTGACTTTATACAGGGTGGAAGGAAAACCTTCACATATGTCGTATACAGGATTTATTTGACTTTGCCTGATTGAGATTTTTATTCGAATAGTCAATTTCTAGATGTTGTGGTGTTGACGGTTTCCTACTAAATTTACTTGAGTACCTAATCAATACAGGGAGACTATAAAATATATTCACGTTAAAAAAAAAAAAATTTAAATAAATAAAAACAATATATATATATATATATATATATATATATATATATATACCTACAATAAGAATGGCTAGCAGTATGAATTACGATATGGATCCCAATCATTTGAGAGTTTATGAGATTAATTATGAACTAAGAATCCGGGATGTTTCCACTGATAAAGTAGATATATCAATGAAAAGAAAATATCTTAGGCGAGAACTGAAAAAAGACATGTCACGATCAGGTGTTCTTTATACCACACCTAACTTTAATTTTGAATTAGAGAAAACTGAGATAGATGAAAGTATGATGACTATAACTGAAGCTGTTGATAATTTTGATGGTAGTAATATAGAGACCTTCAATCGCCTTAGAAGTAGGATATATCATGTACAGGGTAGGCTTTCTCGTGTGCCGGAAGCAGAGGAGAGATGTCGCAACTACAGAGGTGACAATATTGTTAGAGCTGCGGTATTGATGGATGAGTTAGAGGAAGCCAGAGATCGACATATGGGTGGTGTAGTTGTGGGTACTCATTCGGCGGATCTAACAAATTCTGTCCCTGATTCGAACCCGAAATCGATACCGGTCTGTAAGTGGGGTATAACTTTTGATGGCAATGCTGCCAGGTGTTCAGTTAGTTCATTTTTGCAGCGAATAGAGGAACTACGTATTGCTAGGAATTGTACGGAAGGAGAATTATTCAAATCAGCAGTAGATTTGTTTGATGGAGTTGCTAGGGAATGGTATCGCTCACAAGTGAGGTTAGGGAGATTCGATAGTTGGAGTGATTTGGTCAAAGCTCTACGACAAGATTTTTTGCCCTCAGACTATGATGACTTATTATGGCAAGAAATACGGAGTAGATCTCAGGGGCGCGATGAGAAGGTGGTTATTTTCATATCGATAATGGAGAATCTATTCAGCTGTTTGGCAAATCAACCTACAGAGAACGAGAAAATGAATATCATTCGCCGAAATCTGCTTCCCTCTTTCCAACCCCAATTAGCATTACAGGATATACCAGATATAGCCACATTATCAAAACTTTGCAGATCTCTAGAGGAAGCAGCACAAATCCAGAAAAGGTTTCAACCCCCGCAGAGGAATGTGTCGTCCTTAGAACCAACTCTGGCTTATAGTTCATCACTTGTCGACAGGCCTGGTACTAGTAGTAGTAGTAACAATAGTGATAGGTATCGAAATTGCAACTGCGGGTCTCTTGTGGATAATTACCCTAGGAGAAATTATTCCCCTCGTCCTCGTGGTAGGGTTGACAATTACGGTAATAGTGGAAGGGGAAGTTCTGCCCAAGGTCATCGTCAAAGTTGGTCCAATCGTTACGAATCAGTTAGTCAGTTGGATGCCATTCAGTGTTGGAGATGCAAGGGAAATGGTCACATGCAGCGCGACTGTAAGCAGAAACGTATACCTATATGTCATGGGTGCGGAAAAATCAACGTTATTCGTCCTAATTGCCCTAACTGTACAAAAAATGGCCATCAAGGGGGCTCCCAGTAGATCGGTGTTTCCCTTTTGAAAAGCAGATCTACAAAGTTTCAGAGGATTGGAAAAGATGGTTAGATACCGTAAAAACATTTTGTAGGTCACCAACTGGTTTTCATGAGAACAATATCTTGTTTGTCAATAAGGAAAATGATAATAGACCGTATGTAAGAGTACAGATATATGGCAGGTCAATCGTTGCCTTATTGGATAGTGGAGCGAGTCGCTCAGTGATTGGAGGCCCAGGGTTACACTTGTTGAGTGTTTTCGGTGCTGAAGTAAATCTGGATAGTAAAAATTCAGGTATTAGTACGGCGGATGGGAAAATCCAGAAAGTGTCTGGATATGTTGATTTACCAGTTGAGA